TATGAGATGTCCACCTAGGTACCTCTTTCGTTTATGCATCAGTAACCTACAATCTTCTGTCATGTATTTTGAGGTTTCATTCTTTTCCCTGCAGAACCTATAAACTTCATTGTACTGAATTTCCAGTTAAGATTCTTCTTTCGATTTCAATTCATATGTTCAATTATATTTTAATTACTAAATAGCGAAGTATTCAAATTATATCTTTTTAAATGTTTGTGTTAAAAAAATTTGCATATGAAATAATTTATAATTATTCGCTAATTTCCGAAGCACAATTAAGACGTAAAAGAAAGTTAAAAATATTTTTAGCATTTAATGGGATTATTTATAACTCCAAAGCAATTGGCTTATAACTTTTTTTTAAAAAGTTAAAATTTAATTCTAAAATTCTTAAAAACTTTGTTCGCTTTTTAATAAAAGTAATTTTCAAAAGAAGGTATTTGCGAGGATACGTCGGGAGCTATTTGACTAAGCTCACTCGTACGCTTCTGCTCACATGTTGGAATGTAATAAAAAGTTTCGTTTACTCTGAAATTGTAACGATTTTTTTTACTAATATGGAAATGCGACATTAAGGTATCTTAACGACTTTTAAGGACTCTTTACGCAACTTTTGTTCACTCCTGTTAGTGTAAATGGTTGTTGGCCTCACAGCGGTATTGCTGCTCGTTTTTGTTGTATCTCATGTAGTTGAGAAAAATATTTATTTAATTTAAATTAGGATTATGGTTATGATCTTCGATGCCAAAGGATACAAAAATAACATTGGAAGTCCTTTGCTATTATATTTGCCGTTACTCTTTTATTACTTTGTTAAATAGTATATTTGGAATGTAACTATACTAGAGACACCAAGCAATTTATATGCAAACTTTATAGTTAAATGTGACCCGCACATTGTAAGATGTGTATTTATTAATTGAATTTCTCCCTGTTGTGCTCTTCGGATTTTATTGGAAATGTTTTATGGCCAAATAAATCGTGACCAGCACGAACTTTTAGCCTTGGTATGCAGCATGTGAGGTTGCAAGCTTAGCACTAAAGTGGTGGCAAATGACATTAAGTTGCAAATGGTTATAAATAAAAGGTTTGAAATTTGAAAATTTTTATATATTATGCAAGGATCCTTAAAAGCTTTCGATGAAGTAGTGAAACAAGTCATTAAAGAACATGAAAGTATAAAACTTATTAAAAACCTAAAGTGCTTTAGTCATAGAAACAATCAACTTTTGTTAGGTGTTTTCTATATTGAACGGTGGGTTAAGGATTTATTTGCGGAATGCGTTGATAGTGACTCAACAGAAGTAGCTACTGTTACTTCAAGTTTAAGCTTATTAGTTTGCTAAAAGCACAACAAGCAATATGCAAACACATATCCCCAACTTCAAATCTATTAATCCCTTAAGCTGCGGAATAACTCTAAGGACATTTGTTGTTACATTTGTGTTTTATTGTATACAATATCAGCATTTGCGTCAGCAATAAAACTGAAATTGGATTTTTATAAAAAAAAATTGTAGAATCAAAGACAAAAAATGCTATTAACAAATCATGCCAAATGCTGTCCTATGAAAATATATATATATGTATTTATATATGTTTTGTTTCTTGTCTGTCAGTTTTATTTTATTTGAGTTGTATTTGAGCTGCTCTGAAGGACATTAATCAGCAAACATATGAGCTCCTGTCGTTTTATTGATACAAAACATTTGTTTCCTCTTTGCATATCGGATATCTGAGCCTGAGGGTGCTAGCATCAAATCCATAATTTAATGTTTTTTTATTTATTTAAAGCAATGCTTTATATGTAACTTTTGTCATATTTTTAAGAAATTTATTTTTGGGTTGCATTATTGAAATCTGCTGTACAATTCGTTTTAAGTTATAAAAGTCAAAATTTAAGAAATATCAAACTTATCATACCAACGTATTTTATTTTCATTTCAATATATTAATCTATGTATATTGCATTAAAAATTAAAGGCCAAAAGTAAATTAAAATATTTTTCGAAGAGAACATCACTAAGGGATTTTTTCATGTGAAAGAGTAGAGACTAATGTGGGTTTAGTGTGCATTTGAATGATTACCATGTTGGTTATTGAAGAGGTTTTTGAGAAAAGCTATTGCTATAGTACAATGAACTAATGAAAGACGCGGACTCCTTTCCAATGTTTTTCTTTGGAGTACTTTGGTTCTGTAATTGCTAACATGTGAGGCGCTTCATTCTTGCTATGCGCGGAGCGCTATAAAAAAGGTACTAGAAGAGCGAATCGCTCACTTTCAATGACATGACAATGTCACTTCTTCTTCGAAGCGCATTAATAGCTAAATAGCACTACTAAAGAAAGCACTTGGGTTGGTTGCTTTAATATTTTAAAAACAAGGTTCACAAAATATGTCACTATATATATTTTTCTTGGATTGTCTATATAAAGAATTGGTAAATTTGTTATCTATATTTTTTCATAATTTTATATAAAAATGTGATATACAAAACTGGTACAAAACCAACAACCAACTTAACCTACTTAACCAATTTGTCATGATATGGTAAAAGAGTAAATACTGTCTTTTTTATGTGAGACGCAATATACTCGTACATATGTTGGAACTGGCATCATTATTAACATCTGCAACATCTTAATAATTGCAGAAGATTAACAGATATGCAAACAAAAATTACAACAACAAAAAGAATGATATTAACTGGCAATTTATGAAGTTGTATTTGTAAATAAATAACAACAAATGTGCTTGAATGGAACATAAATGAATGTAAAAAAGGCTGCCGTAATGAGCTTACTTAAATATGAAATACATGTATTTGTTTGAGTGATTGTGTATATGTATGAAAGACTATAAATAAATGGGAAGTGCACACACACACATGCAAACATACACTTACACAAACTGAACCTAATAATGGAATTAAATTAAGTTAAAATATTTTTGCAGTGAATGAAGTCAGAGACGTGAAGCAAAAGTGCGAAAAGTGTTGAGCTGGTTGATATGTTTGTAGGATAAGGGAAAATATTGATATTAATTGTAAGTGTTGCCAGATAAATAAATTCAAAGTTTTTATTTAATATAACTTGGCAAATGTTCACTTTTCTCGTTTATGTTAACCTTAACTGAATATATGTTCGTTGTTGGGTTGTTCATTATTATTAAAAGAAGCAGTGAATTTTTAATTTAATTTTCTTGAAAAGTATTGCAAAGTTCATTATTAATATTTTTACATTTCATTGAAGTAGAAACATTTTATTAAGTTCTCGAGTACGGTTAAGTAAAATGAATTATGTTTTGAACATTTTAAATGCTCAAGCACCTTTTAAATACAATGGCGGCAAGAACAGGAGTGTGGCAGTGGTAGCTGCCAAAGCTCGACAATGGCAAACAGTTGCCTGCCGCCATTGCGGTTAATGCGAACATTTTTCATTATCCTCGCAAGAGGCAATTGTTTATAGTAATTTTCTTATATCACCATAACTTTCGTTGTTGTCTTCATTCCTTAGATAGCTGAGTAATGTCTTAGATAGAAACAAAGTGTACTATTGTATATGTATGAGTGCCTGATTTTTATGAGTGGGCGCGGGGATTTGAAATTCTTCTCTAATTATTAAGATTTAAGTTGATGTAGCTTTTGCTTTTATTGGTGCTGAAATTGGTATTTATTGGCTTGACTTTGCTTTTGCCTTCTACCTTATGCTGCCATCTACTTAGTCAGCTACTGAGTTCAACATTATATTTCAATTATTTCAGGTAAACACCTTTATTCATTATTTATTCTGAGTAGCTTTTGGGTTTTTGTTACTATTATTTGTGTAGTCTTTATGTGTTATTTCTAGTGCTAAGTTATTACTGACACTGCCAATCAAATCCCAAGTAATTAACACTCTAGAATCTGCAATAGACTTTAAGCTGACACTGATTTCAGTAAACAATTCACATTAAAACCTCTAAAATATTTAAAATATTTTGCTTTGTAGTTTAGTAATTTATATATATATATATATTCTGTTTTCTCTAACATTTTTTAATTAAATTTTTTCCTTTAAGTCAATTACTTTTCCGCATTGCTGATAAAATAAGTATTTTGTATTTTATAAACTTAATTTAATATAGTTAAAATAATAGTTAAAATTAAAATATAATCAGTCTTGAAAACTTTTTTAACTCACAAATTGGCATTAAAATTGCTTAAATATTAAATTCATATACTTTAGCTTAAGAATAACTTAATTTACATGGTTAATTATTTTCTTGTTTACACTAAATATTGGTATTTACAGGTAAATAAAAGAGACTGTTTAAAGTTTTTTACTTTTCGAGATCAGATGTTGTTGTTTTCAAATGTTGTTGTTTTTGTTTCAAATGTTAGTATTTGGAAAATTAAGTGAAAATATTGTGACTTTTCAGATTTTCGGTACAAAAATTCTGACAGAATTGGTGACTAATAACGGGGAATTCAGGGTAATTGAAGATTAAAGAGAGATGTGTTATAAGAGAGAGATTTGTGTGTGTGTTTATATTTGCATGAAGTAGGAAAGAGAAACGTCATTAACCCGAATGTAATATTGCTTTTATTTGTCTTTAGCATTCTATAATAAATATTCAGTTCTGGCATAACATTCATTTCAATACATTATATTGTCATAAATAATAATTAAATTCAAGTTTTGAAAATAATTTTTTCAAATAAATTGTTGATATTGACACTCTGAAGTTTATTAAGAAAGGAAAAGATTAAGTGAAATACTTTCAACTATCATAATTAAAATGTTTTAACTGCGAAACGTTTTCCACAATACTTTGAGCTCAAAAACAACAATTTAAGTTTAAATTAAAATTTTAGTCTAATTAAACAACTTTGGTCTGTTTTGCTTTGGATATTTTGAAAGAAGCTCTTCGAGAATTAGGTCTTTTGCAATTTAAATATTAATACTTTTCTCAGTTCTTAAACTTATTTTAGTTATATAGTTTGAGTACATATTTTTTATATATATTATAATTTTATTCTTTTTACTAGTGGTTGACTTATGTTCTAATTTTTATACTCTAGTAATACTTACATTTCCTTTGCTTATCGGTAGTAGACCACATAAAAATCTCACTTTTTGATAATTTGTTACTTCTCTTGCTAGGAACAGCGAAAATAATTTACTTAACTTAATTGAAAAATATGGCAACACTTTCTGACTAAAGTTTTGTTGTGCTTCTGTGTCGTCCAACAGATAGTTATACCCTGTACTTGAATTGTGATTTCTTTTGTTTTTGTAACAACTGAAAAGCGAGCACGCAAAAAAAAGGTTTTCACATTAATTCCGTTTCCATTTCCATTTCGACTTCAGGCATTTCCACATGTACGATATTTGTCATTTCAGTTGTGGTTGCCACGGCCATTGAATTTCACGGAACATAAGTTGTTAGCGATGCTGCATCTGAGGTGGTAACACAGCAAATTAATGCTGAAGCGGTGCGTTTTGGTCAAATCGCAGACACCTGCTCTAATTCGGCCGACGAGCGGCCCGAATTCATTACAACAACATTTTTCGCCGCGTAATCAGTGACGAATCGATCACTGTTGCGCGGATGTATGTTGCCCACATCCTGCGTACAACACCACGGATTTCGAGTGGTCAGGATGCGTTTGAAGGCGTCGCGAAATTCCTTATTGAAAATTGAGTAAATTATGGGATTGAATGCAGAATTCGAATAGCCCAGCCAAGAAAGTATTTTGAATGTCTGGCCGCCTATGCAAGTTTTGCAAAACGCTGCCACGATATTCACACAGAAGAAGGGTACCCAGCATATTAGAAAAACACCCATTATAACGCCCACTGTAATGGCCGCTTTATGATCAGAGACGTGATATGGCGAACTGTGGTGCAGATTGCGTACTTTGAATTTTTTCTGTTGGTTTTTTGGTCGACGTATACTCTTGTAGCGCTGCTTTTCTGCTACTTCCCCAGGCCGTGTGACAGCTTTTATGGATTTTACATGTTTTTGAGCGTAGCAATAAAGTCTGAAAGAAATAAAATTAGTAAAAAGGATATTTTAAAATTTTTATTCAAGTTTTTTTTTGCATTGCAAATTTATTATGGAGCTTAAAATGTTTTTTTTTTGTTTTCATTTTATTAACCAAAGCTATGGTGTTTATAACAAAATGGCGAATAGCGGATGACATGAATATGTCGCCTTAAGTTGCTATTTTGTATTAAAGCTGCACACACGATTGTAGGTGTACACACGATGTTGCCTACAACAGTTGTTAGTAATACTTTGAGGCAAACCAACAAAGCAAAAGTACCTATATTCTATATGTTGAATTGTGTAAGACCACAATTCTGTGAGATTCGTTGTTGTTTTCTTTAAACAACGGATACATGACAGTAAGAAGATACTTAAACATTTTGTATATTTTTTTACATATAATATTTCTAACCAAAATATTATATGCTTTTTATTTAGCTAATATTATAGATCTATAGCGTTATTTCTGTGTTTAAACGAAATAATTAACACAGAGTCTATATTTAAATTTTTATATTTATTCAATTGTGTTGCCGTAAATTTCTAAACTTATTCTTAGAAATAATTTTCTTACCTAAATTTTCTAAATTTTATATTATCAATATATTTCAATTGTAATGCAGCTTACTATGATTATTGAAAATATTGACAGCTACAGGTCAGTAAAAATTTTTTTTTAATACCTAAACAATTCGAATTACTTAAAGGACTTGAAGTAGTAAATGCTTGTGGACTTATTGCTACATATTTCTAAGGGTTCTTATGTTTCTACTAAGGTACACATAATGAACATTAGTAGTTAGTTACCATTCTTGTCACTTTTATTTTGTCTATACATTTTTTTAAGATGCAGTAAGACTAATAGTTACGATCGTCTGGTTAATGTTACCGATTATTGTCGTACTGGAAATTGGATCTTTTTTAAACACAGTAAGAAAATTAATAAAGTTTGAACCAAACTAAACAGTGTGTGGATAAAGTTCATCTGTGTCAATTTTTTGTGATTAGGTGCATTTACTTAAAATCTATTAACTAGCTACTAACTACTAATTAAAACTCTTACAAAATTTTGAATACATACATTAGTAATAAAAAAATTGTTGTTAAAACTTTTAAAGAAATTTATGACTAAAATTCGTAAGAAAATAAAACTATACGACTTAGTTGCTGACGAAATTATAGCTCTTATCATATCCTTTGTTGGAAGTGAATTCTTCAATGTTTATTCACAACAAATTTGCCAAAAATTCAAAAATTGCAAAATAGAGAAAACTCTAAGAAAATTAATTCAACAGAAGCAAAAATTTGTCTTCAAAACTAATAATGCTTTTCAGGTAACAAACTATTTTTGTATTAACAACCATGAATGTAGATGCTGTCTATCAGAAGCACAGTATAAAGCACTACTTCATGCAAAAATCTTCCGTTTTAGTTAGCAAATTTCACAAATAAAATAAGAACAAAAAGATTCCTCAAGCTTACATGACCTTCAGAGCATAAAACAAAACCGAATAAGGTAGCCGCACTGATTGGTACACAAACAGATGAGCTTGAATTGGAGAAGAGATTTGGGAATACATAGTAAACGAACCAAGTGTGCCAAGGAGATTTGAGTTATGTTGCTTACTGGTGTCATTTAATGTAACGTTGCGACGGATGACTTTCTTTTCGTTAAGATGTGTAATTCGATAAGTTTATTTGCCTGCAATGGCAATGAATTCATCTTGTGTGAGCTTATATTCTACATGTCATTATGTATACAGGCATGGTTGATTGACCATAAGGACGTGAAATGATACCCACACTAAGTCAGTGGGCTCAGTAATAAGGTAACAGAGTTGTCATGTCATTATGGAGTTTATGCACTAATCAGTATTTTAATAATATGGTATTGACAAGAACACTTTCCATACACTCACCCACTAATGCGCACATCACAAAAAATGTTTCATAACCTCAGTGGTTTTTATGGTTTTACTTGATTCTGCGAGATCACCTATGTTTGATAAGGACAACAGTAAAATGTTCAATAAATATGTTTTCATCGTATAATTTGTTCATTATTATTTTTGCACTGCGGCACAGGACCCGTTGAACTTTTTTTTGCGTACTGGAGGCATTTAGTCCCATATGTATTGAAGGTTTGCTGCTGGCAAGAGTTGAGAACGGGAGCGTCTGTATATCAATGTATAATAACCTGTAATGGATGTATAGCAATTGTGGCTTCATACATTTTTTGCCACTGTGCGGATAATGAAATACGTTGCGGTCACGCCTTCGCGCTTTAGTTCAGGCACGTCGCCTGCAAGACGCGCACTGTTTGGTGCTTCTTTCACAGTTTGGCGCAACTGGTAACTACACCGACTGTCCCTGTGGGCAGAACAACTTTATCGCACATAAATAATTTTTATGTTGAATACGTGTTTCAAATTTTAAACAAACACACACCAGAAGTGCACATGGATCCCAATAATAACTTGTGTTCTAGTAATTTATTGTGTAGTAAAATTGGGAAATATTTATATGGACTAATGACAGGTGCTATTCAAGGTTAACCCTAAAGGATTCTTTTGTATAATATAAGGAAAATTGGAATATATTTATTTTCATAGAAATTTTTGCCTATAACTATACAAACTCTAACACTTGCGCTTGCCAAAAAGGATATTTTTGGATATATTTGAAATATTTAGCACATGTCTGTATGTCATTTGGATCTAAAAAGTGTAAAATTAACATTTAAGTGAGTTTAAATCAATAATATCCTTTCGTAATTGTAGTCTGTTTAGATGAAACTTTTAACAAATTTTAACAAATCACATCGATTGGTGAGCTGATAGCTTTCCTCTCATTTATATTCTAAACTACAATTTCTATTAATGTTGTTGCCCTCCTAAATGGAAGTTCATATAACCTGACAAACTCGTTACTAAAACTGAAATACATAAAATGCCACTTCAATTTACATTTCCATACTCACCGACAATAAATGCCAATCATAACCACACATGGAAAATAAAAACTAATGCAACTTGAGACAACAGCGTATGTCGGTGTCAGATCCAATGCGCACGTCGGATACTTTTTGCCATTATCCTCCACAATTAACGGCTGTGCGGGTCGATGCAGGCCCAGCGAGATTGGCACAAATGAAACAAATGCGGCCAAAAGCCAAATAGCTGCGATGGTGATGACAGCAACACGACGTGTGACCCAGCGGCCATAACTGAAAATAACAGAAAAAATGCAAATTGAAGTGAGTACAAAGGCGGAAATCTGAAAACGGAAAATTTAAAAATGGCAGCAAATAAAAATTGTTAAACACATATCCTTTGCAAGGCACAATTTGTGTTCACTTACAGAACGACAATATACGAGTATACACATTGTTCAATTATTCCAAACAAACATATCCTTACATTTGTCCATTAAAATTTTTTGGAGTGTTTTGGAAAACGTGTTATAAGTAAAAGACTATAACAGGACACAGTACATTTTTCGACGATCTACTGTTGTTAGAAATATTATTTGGTGTGTCCTTGAATGTATCACTGTCATTGTAATTAAAAGTCAGCTGGGTATTGCAAATATTTCATTTATTTTCTGTTCACAGAAATTTATTGTGGCCCTTTTATTTTTGGCTAAATTTTATTATTTTATATTACAGTCTCGCTTGTTAAAAAAGTTATTGAAATATGCAACTGAATAGACTAATTTAAGATATATAAAATGTAACTTGTAACTTGTGATTTAATTGAAAACATTACAGAATGTGGATTGAGAATATATTGCTATATTCTCATATCATTCATGGAAAGGGATCTTTACATGGACTTTTTTTGGTATAGGATAGGTTTCTGATTGTTTGTAGATAGTAACATCCAACTAATAATGTTGAATTGTGGCAAACAATTAGAAAAAACCTTGTTTAGAATTTCTAGCCCTCTTTAGAGGTTATAAAAGCGTTAGCAGAAAGCATATAAAAATAATCTACTGCAAAATACTTTCATATTCGAAGATTTGGTCCGTGATTTCAGTTAAAATTGTTTCTTAAGTAGCATATACAATAGTATATATTATATAAAAGCATATATAAGTAGCATATAACAATAATCCTTCATCTTGATATTTTGTTGTTGCACCAAGAATTATTCTGCCGTTTCATCGGAAACGAAATTGTTGGATTTTCTATTAGAGGGTTGTAAATAAATATTTCTAATCCGAAGACATCTTTGAAGCGTCTGTAATATCTACTAAAAGTCAGTTTAGCAATGTTATAAGCACAAATGCCAATCTCTAAAAGCCAGGTTTTATTAAGATAGTATATCAGCAGTACTGTACGAATTTTCATGTTATTTTTGTAAAATATATGAGATCTATTTGAGACATTCTAGAAACAAGTGATGATTTTGTTAGCTTGCGCTTTTGCAAACAAACATACAGCAGTTTTTATATGAAGAACCCTTCCACTATCTTAATTATTAAACTATGTGCTCTTCATCCAGAGTGAAAGAAGTTTTGTCAAATTAATTTGGCCCCTCGACTGAGCAGCTATTTAGCTCTTCCGTTGCCTATTTAAATATCACGATTGCTTTGTTATATTTTTTTTCATTTGATATGACCAAATGACCAAAAATAATTTTGTTGAAAGGTTTTTTTAATCTATAAGGTCAATTTTATTTTTATTTAAAACAAATTTGCAATTCAATACACTATATTTGACCAGTTCAATTATTTTAGATTCAAATCGGCAAAGAATTAAATATTCTACAAAAGTGAAAGTTGTTATATAAATGGAGTTGGTTAATTAACGAAATTTATTGATTGATATTTTCAGAGTAATTTAAACTTTTACAAAACGTTCGTAATTCGAGAAACAGTTTTTATTTTACATTTATCCCAAATACTAAATAGCTGGAAAATGTTTTGCGAAATAAATTTTACTGTTAATTGCATGAATTTATTCGTTCAGGCGCTCTTAAAAAAAATATGAATTTTATTAAATAAATACTTTCCATGTGCCGAATGAATTTACATATTGGGAAAGAAGTAAAAGGGAGGAATTTAAAAAATGCTTTTTATAAATTTAAACGTTCGATTTTCATAAATAAACAAATAGCGAAAAAATCAAATATAAATAAAAAGCAAATGGCGCTCGCAAATGTAATGTACAAAAATCTGGCAACCTCGCAATGCAAACGCATTGAAATCGGCATCGAGCATTGACGGCGGCAATTTCGTTTTTTCGTAAATTTTGTTACCAGTTTTTTATTGTGTTTTGGTGCTGATGCGATTTCAATACTCTGAGGCATAATTTCAGCGACGGTAAGTGTGCATTACGCCATGCCTTGCCGATGATAAAATATGGAGAACAGTAGCTGTATCCTGCAGCAAAACTTGTGTGTGAACAAACACGAATTGACAAGCGTAGGCATATATAAATAAAATTACACTAAAGTGTCATACGCTGTATTTGTTGAAAGGCGTATGGCGTATGGCGTATGACGTACGGCGTATGGAGAATGGAGAATGCCAGATGAACACATGCAAATGTAAGTAATTTGCTTAAGTATTTGCGCACGTATATGTGTCTGCCTTTACGTGTGTAGGTAAGTGAATATTGTAACAGGAAATCAAACAGAATAATTCAATTTTAACACAAAAATTGTTTGTTGCACAAATATTAAGGAACTCTGTCGCATGAAGTCGAACTCGCCGGAAACGGAAGTGTAGGAGTCGGCGGTAAATTTGTGCACTTACGATTTCGACTTCAATTCGAATGAGAGTCTTCCGTCAGTACGTTTTCATTTAATTTTCCTTTTATTTTTAGTCGCATTTGTACATGAAAACAAGTCTCATAGGAGCACTTATTTTGGCATAATGAAAGTAAGGATTCGTTAGTATGTAATTTGTCCTGTAGGCCCAAAAATGAAATTATGAAAGGAATTCATGAATTTTGCAAAAAAAAAATATAAAAAAACATTTTGAATGTGCTAAATATATTAAAGCTACAATGATATCCGACTAAGAGTTTTAGACGATGTTAAGACTTGGAAACATTTAGGTGCTACGATGATTTCAGTCCTTTTAATTGCATTACGTTTAATGATTTGAAAGCTTTAATGCATTAAAACCGAAATTAGATATTAAATTTATTTAAAAAATTTAAATATATATAGAGTTCATATCTGTTTAAAGAAAAGCTACTCGAATATTAGAACAAACATGAATTTCACAGAATAATGACCATCACTGCTGTTGAGGACAATTAAGGAGTTGGTTATTGCACATCCAACAAAACAAAGATATCAAGAAACTATACTTTCTCTAATGCACACGAGCTATGTTTCAACCATGGCTTCGAACCGGAACCGGAGAAATGTTAAAAAATTAATCGTATGACTTATCTTAAATTTTTTAAGATAAGTCATACGTCAAAATACCAAATAGACCATAAACATTAAATGCAACTTAATAAAATAACAAAATATGTAGAACTTTTTAACGCTCTGAACTATTCACCGTTTTGGTCATAGTATTATAGTGTACTACTATTACTTTGCAAAGGTTGATAGCCAGTGCCAGTGAAATATACTAAATTTATTTCTATTGGAACACCTTACTTATAGCATAAAATTCACTTTAAAAGTATACTAATGCAATGTATCTTATTTTGGTTTGCTTATTTGGATGTAAAATTGAAACAATAATTTTCAAAGATAGGAACAATAGTTACTATCTAAATCTAACTTACAAATAATTACTGGGGGATTTTGTCTTTGCTGTCATGAATATAGTTAGAATAAATAATTTAATATAATGTGAAAATAAATATATTTCGAATAGAAAAAGTTGATATTAGTGTGTAAACTTTTAAATCCAAAAGAAAAAAATTATAATAAAAAACAGATAATAACTTACAGTTATTAATAATATTATTAATATCTTAAAATACGTTTTTCCCCAATTTGTTTCACTTAAGAGTTAAGTCGTTGAAAAACAATAAAATACAATTAATTATTTTAATTCCTAAACACTTTCAAAATATATTAAAAGCTAAATAAATAT